GTTCTGCTACTGCTGACAGTTGCATTTGGGAGTATTTAATATTTCACTGATGTTCTTTTAGTCTCGTGCTGAACATTCGTCCTGTTTGCCCAACATAACATTTGCCACACGTGCAGTTAATCCTGTACACACCTTTTGTTGATAGCTTCGGTAATACATCTTTTGTACCAGATATTAAATTCTGTATTTTTTTGTACCGTGCCAAATCTGACTCGGATGTTTTGTTTTTACAAACATCCCGCTAGTTTATCAGTTACTGCCGCAATGTACGCTATTTCGATCGTTTTAATTACTTGGGCAGTTTCAATGCTCGTGTTATTTAATTTGGTTTTGGTATTCAATGCCCTGTTGATTTGTGGATCATTAACAGGTCCCTGCAGGGTGGGCTGGTAGGAACATTGGAATTTTTTTTACACCCAACAGCACGAGATTTCACTTCGTTAAAGTATTGAAAGGGGACAGACGGACAGACGGACGGACACATTAATCTATTGCAGGCTGGTACACTCAGTTTACAACTTCGTTCCTACCAGTATAACCGTTCATTTGCAGCGCTTGTTTAACATGTTGAATTTCACTCCTCAGACTGTCACCATCTGACACTTTCTTAGCTCGATGAATGAGCGTCTTGATAAGAGCAGATTTCTGTTACGGGGTGATGGTGTGACTCTGCATTCAGATAGGCGTCAGTATGCGTTTTCTTTCGGTAAACGCGGTGTGTTATTTTACCATTTCTACCCTAGTCGAGCAGAATATCCAGAAATGGTAGAGCTCTGTCAGCTTCCACTTCCATGGTGAACGGGATGGATGCGTTTTGCGAGTTGAGATGATTGAGAAATGCGTTCAGTGGATCTTTGCCGTGAGGCCAGACCACCAATGTGTCATGCAAGAAGAAGATGAAGGGGAGGTGAAGAGTAAACGCTGTCAATGAAAATGATAACGATGATGATGATGACAATGACGACGATGATGACAACAATGATGACGATGATAATAATAATGATGATGATAATGATGACGATAACGATGATGATGACAGTGATGACAATGATGACAATGACGATGATGACAATGATGACAATGATGACAATGACGATGATGACAATGATGACAATGATGACAATGATGACAATGACGATGATGATGACGATGATAATGATGACAACGACGATGACAATGATGACGATGCTAATGATGACGTTAATGACGATGCTAATGATGACGTTAATGACGATGCTAATGATGACGTTAATGACGATGCTAATGATCAGGTTAATGACGATGCTAATGATGACGTTAATAACGATGATAATGACGACGTTAATGACGATGCTAATGATGACTTTAATGACGATGATAATGATGACGTTAATGACGATGCTAATGATGATGTTAATGACGATGATGATGATGAGGTTAATGACGATGCTAATGATGACGTTAATGACGATGATAATGACGACGTTAATGACGATGATGGGCACGTTCCATACGGATGGAGCTGCCAGGAAGAGACCACATTGGCAGCGGCCGTGGCCCTGGTCCTGGATGAGATGAGGAGGTCGTGGGTCGCGCTGCTTTTTGATGTCAATTTATTCTGGACATCTGTGAAAAAAGAGCTTCATAGCTCATCGGATTCCTCCAGTACAGATAAATATTCAGATTCTGATATTCCATCTGGTCCGAAAGCTTTCATCCTCGTTAAAGGCTGAGTTCAGTCTCTGACTTAACTCAATGTGGCCCTCAGCCACTTTTAAACGTTAAGACTATCCCGTATATCCAGTTTGAGAGATTCCCTCAGGACAAGCTAACTTAAAAAAGGTAGGGTCTGGCGGATATTCGGGTATACGGTGGGGCCTGGCGGATATTCGGGTGCGGGCGTTTTTCTAGACGCCCGACCTCTCTGCAGAGGGCCTTTGTTCTTGTGTACAGCATAAAATAAAATTATATTATTTAAAAAAATCACCCACACCACTCAGCTTAATTCGCCAGAGTAGTAACATTCCATATCCACGGGCTCACAAGCTCGAACCACACATTTCAATAATGCATACATTGTATATATATAAACACATACACACCCAACTCAATTACTCAGGGTTGGAAATTAAAACGTGTCAAAGCTTTTGCGATTGTTTTGTGGGTATGAACACATTGGTATTTTACATACTCTTTGGTTCTTTCGGTAAAGTCACGTAGATGAAAAATGAAAATAATGAAAATAATCAAATGAAAATAACTAAATCAAATCACGACGAAAAAATTAAGTCACGAAAACTTCAAATCTAGAATTGGTATTTTACTGTTAAACTTATATTCTATGGTTCATTCGGTAAAGTCACGTATATAGAAAACTAATAGATCACGACGTTTCGATAAGGGACAGGGAGGTTAGCCTCTGAGGGCAAGCTGTTTATAAACGTCGAATGTCCACCACCATCGACGGAGCAAGCGGTGATGAGCGCCACTTAGCGGTCGTAGAGAGCACGTGCAGAGAGCAACGCAGACACACGGTATGCATACACACGGCATGCAGACACAAGGCATGCAGACACAAGGCATGCAGACACAAGGCATACAGACACAAGGCATGGAGACACAAGGTATGGAGACACAAGGCATACAGACACAAGGCATACAGACACACGGCATGCAGACACAAGGCATGCGGACACAAGGCATACAGACACAAGGCATACAGACACACGGCATACAGACACAAGGTATGGAGACACAAGGCATACAGACACACGGCATACAGACACAAGGCATACAGACACACACGGCATGGAGACACAAGGCATGCAGACACACGGCATGGAGACACAAGGCCTACAGACACAAGGCATACAGACACACGGCATACAGACACAAGGCATACAGACACAAGGTATGGAGACACAAGGCATGCGGACACAAGGCATACAGACACAAGGCATGCAGACACAAGGCATACAGACACAAGGCATACAGACACAAGGCATACAGACACAAGGCATGCAGACACAAGGCATGGAGACACAAGACATGCAGACACACGGCATGCAGACACAAGGCATGCGGACACAAGGCATACAGACACAAGGCATACAGACACACGGCATGCGGACACAAGACATACAGACACAAGGCATGGAGACACAAGGCATACAGACACACGGCATACAGACACAAGGCATACAGACACACAGCATGCAGACACAAGGCATACAGACACAAGGCATACAGACACAAGGCATGCGGACACAAGGCATACAGACACAAGGCATACAGACACAAGGCATACAGACACAAGGCATACAGACACAAGGCATACAGACACAAGGCATGCGGACACAAGGCATACAGACACAAGGCATACAGACACACGGCATACAGACACGAGGCATACAGACACAAGGCATGCAGACACAAGGCATGCAGACACAAGGCATGCAGACACAAGGCATGCAGACACACGACATGGAGACACACACGGCATACAGGACCCACGCCACAGAGACAGAGACGCAACGCAGACAGATGTACGTTGAGCTTCTTTCGCACCGTACGTAGCCAACCGCGCTAATCGGAGGTGCGGGGGAAGGACAACAAACTAAACACACAAAAGTTGTTCTAAAGAAATGAGTTTTCAACTTAGATTTACAAGTGAATCGATTGGCGGTGACCCGGGTCACCATCGTGACCCGGGGGTACCAACACCTCCAGACGGGAGATGTCACTGAGCCCGATACGCAACGCCAAACATGGAAATACAAAAAAAACGCAAAACACCATTAACAAAGGGGGGACTGCTGGGGTATTTGTGCGTGGCAACGGCTGTTTATTGCTTGTTGTGAAAGTACATCGGGATGCTGGTCTGGTCATTCCCCAGCACGTTCTGCTTCTTACGGGGCAGCCACCTCCTTGTCTTTGGGAGCGAGACCACTCAGAGGCAATGGAGCACCAGGCGCTCTCTCGGTACGGCCGGCGGTCACGGTCGTGCTGGCGGGATCGACGTTGTACAACCCTAGCTGCCACTGCTATTCAGTGGCCTAAAATATGGCTCTAGATTTTGGTGTTATAATTTATTTATGTAGTTTATTGTTAAAAATTCGGTCACAGTCCCTATGATCACTGTTACATTGCATTTATGGCTTTTATTTTGGTGATTTCGAAAACGTTTTTTTGTTTTGGCCATGTTTTTGTTTATTGTAGTACGGAGTTAGACTGATGGCCTTAATCTTAGTTGTCTTGTGGTTGTTGTTGTTGTTATTTGACTTGCATCCCACTGGGATTTTTGCACACAGCGTTGGTGTACGGTGTTATTTCAGGAATATATTGATTTTTTTTCCTGGATTTTCTGTTTGCACAGTCACATAATCACTTTAAGATGTTTTCTTGTTCATATTTTTTGTTTGTTGCAGTTGCACCCGATTCAAGAGCCGAATGGCTCACAGGGCTATACCAAATAAATGAGCTATGAACTATGAACTATCATCGCTCCCAGCGTCGCCCTCCGGCAGGACAGGGCGGTGGTACCAGCGATGCTCCCAGAAATAAACCTTAAACTAGGCCCGGCCCACCAAAATTTTGCGGTGGCTTTGGGCTACCGCCAATCGATTCAAGTGCATAGGGATCGTGCATTAATGACGTCACGCGATTTTTGACGATTTTTGACCACACCCCCCATTCGTCACACTACGTCACAAAGAGTCAGACCCCCCCCTCAAATATGACGTCGCAAACTCTGCCCCCCCCCAAATATATAAAACATGCTTCAAATCGCTTTAAACTATTGTCATTGTAGTGCGTATTTAATGTGGCGCGGCACTCTGATGTTGTAGGAGAAAACATTTATTAAAAAGTCTATTTAAGTAGAACGTGCGGTCTATATTTAAAGTTGCGCATTTTTGATGTGACGTCACATTTCTCACCCCCCCCCCCTTCGTCACACATCGTGTCTGACCCCCACTCCCCCCCCAGGTGCGTGACGTCATTTATGGACGCCCCCATAGCCCCAGTGGCTTCCTAATGTCTGAAGGATATCGACTGGATATCAGGAACGGAAGCTGTGCCGACAGAAGCGATTCGGACAGAAACTGCTTCCGGCACTGTTGGCCACCGCACCGCATGAGACAGCAGCTGTGGCCTTTGCGCACGCGGCTCGCCACTTGTCGCGCGGTGCTGAGCTGATTCTCCCCCCCTCCCCTCCCTCCCGATCTAACGCCTGCCCCAGGTCGCCATGGAGCCGTTCGTGAAGTTCACGGCGCAGAGTCCGGCCAAGGAGAAGATCTACCGGTGGGTGGCGGGGCCGCGCCCTCGTTCGCCGAGCGGCGGAGGCCGCGGCCAACGCGGAGGGAGCGAACTCCACAGCCGCGGCCTGCTGTTTGTGAAGAAGCCCTCGCTTTAGAATCCGCGCCCCGCATCGCGCAGCGGGGGGCGTGGCGTGAACCGTTCCTGCGTCGCCATTGGCCGAAGCGGCCCGGGGGGGTGGGTGGGGGGAGGTGGGACTTGGGCGAGATTGACCAATCGCGTACGCCGCGCCACCTGTCCGCGCGTATCCGCGTTAGGTTTTGTAAACGTCGAGTGAGCCCCGCCCCCCACCCTCCCGACGTGTGTTCATTGCAAATGATCAGCCATGCTCAGTCCGCTGCTGGACGAAGTTCGTCGACACGCCGAGATGTTAGAAACAACTTGGGCCGCGGTGTTAGAAACAACTTGGGCCGCGGTGTTAGAAACAACTTGGGCCGCGGTGTTAGAAACAACTTGGGCCGCGATGTTAGAAACAACTTGGGCCGCGGTGTTAGAAACAACTGATTAAATCAGTCCCGCAATGCAGGACGTTTAATAAACAAAATAAATCTCTCCCAAGTGACGCCTCCAATCACGCAGTTGACCAGCGCGGCGGTGAAGTATGGTCAAAGTAAGCGCCACACGGACCGTACGGCATAGGGTGGCCCCCATCCAAAGTTGCTGCAACAACTCTGGAAGCTCAATCATCACCCCTCACCTCGTTGGCCCAGGGTCCGGGTTCTGATTGTACTGCCTCGCTCGAGTTTCACTTCCCACTCAACACCGCCTCCTGCTCCGAGCACGTTAATTCCCTCGCCAGGTACACAGGAGGTCGTGGGTGGGCTATGAGATGTTAACTTCCTCGCCTGGTACACAGAAGGTCGTGGGTGGGCTATGAGATGTTAACTCCCTCGCCTGGTACACAGGAGGTCGTGGGTGGGCTATGAGATGTTAACTCCCTCGCCTGGTACACAGGAGGTCGTGGGTGGCTATGAGATGTTAACTCCCTCGCCTGGTACACAGGAGGTCGTGGGTGGGCTATGAGATGTTAACTCCCTCGCCTGGTACACAGGAGGTCGTGGGTGGCTATGAGATGTTAACTCCCTCGCCTGGTACACAGGAGGTCGTGGGTGGGCTATGAGATGTTAACTCCCTCGCCTGATACACAGGAGGTCATGGGTGGCTATGAGATGTTAACTACCTCGCCTGGTACACAGGAGGTCGTGGGTGGCTATGAGATGTTAACTACCTCGCCTGGTACACAGGAGGTCGTGGGTGGCTATGAGATGTTAACTACCTCGCCTGGTACACAGGAGGTCGTGGGTGGCTATGAGATGTTAACTCCCTCGCCTGGTACACAGGAGGTCGTGGGTGGCTATGAGATGTTAACTCCCTCGCCTGGTACACAGGAGGTCATGGGTGGCTATGAGATGTTAACTACCTCGCCTGGTACACAGAAGGTCGTGGGTGGCTATGAGATGTTAACTACCTCGCCTGGTACACAGGAGGTCGTGGGTGGCTATGAGATGTTAACTACCTCGCCTGGTACACAGGAGGTCGTGGGTGGCTATGAGATGTTAACTCCCTCGCCTGGTACACAGGAGGTCGTGGGTGGCTATGAGATGTTAACTCCCTCGCCTGGTACACAGGAGGTCGTGGGTGGCTATGAGATGTCAACTCCCTCGCCAGGTACACAGGAGGTCGTGGGTGGCTATGAGATGTTAACTCCCTCGCCAGGTACACAGGAGGTCGTGGGTGGCTATGAGATGTTAACTCCCTCGCCTGGTACACAGGAGGTCATGGGTGGCTATGAGATGTTAACTCCCTCGCCTGGTACACAGGAGGTCGTGGGTGGCTATGAGATGTTAACTACCTCGCCTGGTACACAGGAGGTCGTGGGTGGCTATGAGATGTTAACTACCTCGCCTGGTACACAGGAGGTCGTGGGTGGCTATGAGATGTTAACTCCCTCGCCTGGTACACAGGAGGTCGTGGGTGGCTATGAGATGTTAACTCCCTCGCCTGGTACACAGGAGGTCGTGGGTGGCTATGAGATGTTAACTCCCTCGCCTGGTACACAGAAGGTCGTGGGTGGCTATGAGATGTTAACTACCTCGCCTGGTACACAGGAGGTCGTGGGTGGCTATGAGATGTTAACTACCTCGCCTGGTACACAGGAGGTCGTGGGTGGCTATGAGATGTTAACTCCCTCGCCCGGTACACAGGAGGTCGTGGGTGGCTATGAGATGTTAACTCCCTCGCATGGTACACAGGAGGTCGTGGGTGGCTATGAGATGTTAACTCCCTCGCCTGGTACACAGGAGGTCGTGGGTGGCTATGAGATGTTAACTACCTCGCCTGGTACACAGGAGGTCGTGGGTGGCTATGAGCTGTTAACTACCTCGCCTGGAACACAGGTGGTCATGGGTTCGATCCCGAACCCTGACGCCTGCTGCTGTATATTTGGAGTCTGCGGTGTCTCCCCGTGGTCGCGTGGATTTCTCTCCGGGTCCTCCGGTTTCTCCCTCCACATTTAGAATTAACATCACGGCATTTAGAGTATTTGGCTGCTATACATTTCCACGTGATGAGCCACTTCGTTGAGCGATCATTTGTGGCCAGGTCGCTTCTGAAAAAGAGCTACATAGCTCAGTGGGCCTTAACTGGTAAATTTGTTTTGTTTATTTTTGTCAAATTTATGAGAATCTTGCACATGGCCTCTACCCCAGACTGAGTGACCTCCGAACGCGCCGCAGCACTGTCTCTCTGTCTCCCTGTCTCTGTCTCCCCGTCTCCCTGCCTCTTCCTGTCTCCCTGTCTCTCTCTCCCTGTCTCTCCCTGTCTCTTTGTCTCTGTCCCTCTCTCTCCCTGTCTCTGTCTCCCTCTCTCCCTGTCTCTGTCTCTCTGTCTGTCTCTCTCTCCCTGTCTCCTTGCCTCTCCCTGTATCCCTGTCGCTCTCTCTGTCTCTGTCCCTCTCTCCCTGTCTCTCTGTCTCTCTCTCCCTGTCTGTCTCTCTCTCCCAGTCTCTCTGTCTCTGTCCCTCTCTCTCCTTGTCTCTGTCTCCCTGTCTCTCTGTCTCTCTCTCTGTCTCTCTGTCTCTGTCCCTCTCTCTCCCTGTCTCTCTCCATCTCCCTGTCTCTCTCTCTGTCTCTCTGTCTCTGTCCCTCTCTCTCCCTGTCTCTGCCTCTCTCTTTTTTACGATCAGAGGAAGCAAGAAGATGCTCGGTGTAGTCGGAACTTTGCTTCGTTCATCATTTCGTTTTTTTTAAATGCTTTGCTTTATGTAAACCCCCCTTTTTAAATGAAAGATTTCACAAAAGATTTCTCGCTCTGCTCTCCTTACCCCTTTCCTCTCTCTCTACCCCCCTCTCTTCCTACTCCATGTCGCCCTCTCCCTGTCTCTGCCCCACGCGTTGGGCCCCCACTGGGCATCATGCGCCGATAAATGCATTGAGTCTCACACTGACGATAATGTTCATTGAATCGATTATTCCGCATTGGTACTGCATGTGCTGCAGCAGCTGCATGTGCTGCAGACCTCGCCTCGTACACAGGAGGTTGTGAGTTCAATCCCGACCCTGACGCCTGCTGTATATTTTGAGTTTGCGTGTTCTCTCCGTGGTCGTGTGGATTTTTCTCCGTGTTTTTCCCTCCACTTTTAGAAATAAGCTTTTAGAGTATTTGGCTGCCATAAATGTCTATGTGATAAGCCACTTCGTTGAGCTATGATTTGTGGAAAGGCTGCTTCTGAAAAAGAGCTGTATAGCTCAGTGAATCTTACCTGGTAAAAAAATATTTTTTTTTGCATCATTTAGTATAAATACCGCTATGGAGAGTGAACTATGGTGGGCCAAATGGGCCCATCCCAGCACCCCCTGGAGCCGGCCCATGGCTAAACCCATCAGCTCACGACACGTGAGAGAACCCAGGTTAATTGCAGAAGGGAGGAAGGCGATTGCTGCTTCACCTCCCATGCGATGAGAAGCTCCGTGGAGCCGCGGTGTTGAACGCGAGGATGGGCGACTGTCTTGCAGGACTGCGCAGTACACCTGTACGCTGCTCCACCACCTGGCGGGCACGGCTGGGCTCAGTGGCGACGTGGCCGCCCTGCTCAAGCAGCTGGAGACTCACCTGAGCATGGGCAGGAAGAGTGAGTCCATACATTCGCTCGTCCATTCACTCGCATGGCAGCCGGGGTATTTTTAAACGGTAACAATACCAAATAGGTTACTAACGAGATGACCTACGAACGAATCGCCTGTAATGTTCCCAATCTCATTAGATGGAGGTTAAGCAGCGTTGACCCTGGATAGTGATTGAATGAGTGACCACGTTGTTATCAACTGTGGGGCTATATGGGCAGCAGAGGTTAGTCTGGAAAAATCTATTTGTACAATATTTTTCATTCTCCCCTCCATCATCCCACACTGACCAGGAAGTATGGTCCAATAATCCCCACATCCTCACAGGGTGTGGGGAGGCCCTCATCCAGCAGTGGATTGACACAATATCTTTACTTTCAGAATAACAATGTACAGAATGCGATGTACGTTTTGTTGAATAATAAACCAAAATATTAGCAAGTGTTTCAATGTCTTTTTGAAGCTTGAAAAAAAACACCCTGTGTGTTTCTTTGTGTGTCGCGTGTACACGAAGCAAGTGTTCACTTGATATTTCTATATTACTATAGATGGTGCGCATAAAAGTGACCCGGGCAAAAATTCATCCTTTTTCTGTAAAATTGTGTCTGATGCAGCGACGTGTAGATTACGAAGTAGGAGCTTGACACCTACAGGAGCCTTGGTCTGGCTGCCTGAGACTCAGAATTAATAATAAATGCTTAGTATCACAAGGGAGCCTACATTTGACCTTTTGATTTTCAGGAACAAAAAACAATCCCAATGCAGCCATAGCCTTCCTGATGCAGTGAAAGAGGAAACTGTGACAGTAACTGACGCACACGTTCCATTCGGCAATCTGCAGAATACAAAGCCAGGGCCATTACACATTGACGTCCAATGTTGAGAGTCAATTCGCATTATGGAGTCAACAAGACATAAAGCCACTATACACTGCGACTACAAAAACCTCACAGAGCCACTACACATTGCAAATACAAATACCGTACTACACATGGCTACTGCGCACAGCCGCTATATCGCAGAGTGGAGGTTATTTCCGAGAATAACAATGAGCCCCTCCCCCTCTGCAGTGCTGCGGTTGGGTCAGTCGGCAGACTGCGTGGTGGCCGCCCGGAGGACGGTGCACTTGTCCGACCCCGTGCTGCGTCTGTGTCTGACGGTGGCACAGCTGAACCGCGCCCTCTACCTCGCCTGCGACAACTTACTCTGGGCTGGAAAGTATGCAGCGGCGGCAGTGGCAGCAACACCGTGCCAGTCGGCAGCCGACTTGCTGATCGTAGTGGCAGCACTCCCCACGCGTGTGCTGGGTGTACACCGGGTCAGCCTGTCATAGGCGTTCCCCTCCGTTCTTTTGGCCAACTCATGCCAAGCGATTGCATGAGCCTCACCGACTGCGAACGTAGCTCCGCTTGTCGCCGTCGCCGTGTGACGCGGTCGTCCCTGGAAAATTATCGGCCATCGAAGGCTAAACTTGGCACATTGGATCGCAGTGTCTGTAATAGTACCTAAGGTTTTATTTTCGGCGCGTTACATGGTGCGGTCACGATCACGATCACATCTTTAATTCAATGCTTGGTGGTCAGACCTGACCTTGCTGTAATGGATCAACAAGTTGAAGACGTTCAGCACCGGTGGTGTGTGCTTGCATGCTTACCACAGGGCGGGGGTTTGTTCGCAAAGTACAAGTGTGACGAGCAGGAGCAGGAGCAGGCACGTGTTCAGATGCCACCTTCTGGTGCTCCTCGTGTGCCTCACAGGCGGCTTGTCAAGCGTTGCGAGAGTTGTTGGTCTGAGCCCAGTTACCAATGACCACATTAAAAAAAAGGCATCGTCTTACGTTCGGTTGTCTCCTTAATTTGGATCATTTCAGCTGTGAGACATAAAACACCAATTTGACAACACGCCCAATTAGTTATCTTATTATTTATGTATGTATGTATGTTGAACGTGTTTGAGTAACCTGAAACATGAACGTTTTCTGCACACCAATAAATGACAAGTGTCACCAATGCCATGGCATCTCAGTGGCAGGACAGATGGGAAGTGTCTCTCCCTTCCAACTATGATATCTACTTCAGTGAGCTGTTTTCCCGCTGCACTGCTGTGCGAGCTCTGTAAAGGTACTTCCATCTCTTGGCGTGACACCGATAGCACAAACGGAATAAAACGGAGTAAACAGAAACAAACTTTATCACAAGTTAGGAAAAAAAGTCCGTATCCACGTGGATTATGTCACGCCGTCCAACATGCCCTTGTGCTTGAAAGTATTTTATGATCGCTGTGGAAGCCGGTGCACAGCACATCGCAAATAGTCCCTTTCACTCTCATTTCTGTCTTTTCTTCCATTCCAGTCAAGACAGAGCTGATGCATTGATGGCTTGCTGCCCGTAGTTTTAAAACGTTCCTACGGGAAGCACGTTAACCCGCGTTGGCGCGTGTACGCGCGCGCTTGCATCAGGGTGGGGCTGATCGCGAAGCTCGACTCGGACAAGTGGAGCAAGCGGGCGTTCCGCTTCTACCTGCTGGTGCTGCTCATGGGCCTGGCGCGCGACGCCTACGAGGTGGCGCTGCTGGTGGAGAGGGAGGCACGGGCGCGGGGGAAGCGAGGGGGCCGGTCCGGCGGCGCCGTGGCCGAGTGGGCCAACGGAGAGGAGTACTCCCAGGGAAGCGGGGACCCGGCGCGGCTTGGCACGCGGGTATGCGGTCACGCGGGTACAAGGTCACGCGGTCATGTGGGCACGCGGGTACATGGTCACTTGGGCACGCGGGTACGTGGGTATATGGTCACGCGGGTACGTGGTCACGTGGGTACGCGGGTACATGGTCACGCGGGTACGTGGGTATATGGTCACGTAGGTACGTGGGTACATGGTCACGTGGGTATGTGGTCACGCGGGTACGTGGTCACGCAGGTACGCGGGTACACGCCCTGTTTTCACGTCCGCCATTGCAGACACGCGCACACGCGTGTCCGGCCTCTGCTAATTCTAGAAATTGTATTCATCATCATTACAGTGACTCGGTTTAAAAGGTTCTACTGGGTATGGCTGTGGATGCTGATTCATCTTAGGAAAACAAGAAATAGATTTGTTTGTATATTATATAAACCTGAGGTGATTAGCGGGCTGTGCTATGAACCCGGTGACCCATTGTTTCTCGGATATGGCTAATATCAATGGTATCAGAACCGGCCCTTCCCTGACCAACCCTCACTGAAATTTGCTCCAAACCCCAACCCCCCCCCCCCCATGACTGACACAGCATAGTGAGGCCGTACTTATATTTACGTACGAGTTTTGGCAAGACGCATTGATTCCGCGAGCGCACCGTGGGCGCGTGCAGGTGCGTGGGTGCTGCGCGCTGACGTGCCACGTCATGCGGACGAACCACGCGGTGCTGCTGGACCTGGTCAAGAACCTGTGCGACCTCGTCATCCCGCTGGACCGCCTGGGCCTGCGTCGATCGTCGCCCGGCGTCGTGGGCCTCTGCGGGGTTATCTCCTCCGTGCTTGGAATCCTCCAGATCACGCACCCCTGGCTCAAGCTCAAGCCCTGAGCCCGTCGGCGACGCCACCCCGGGGGGGAAGCTCGTACACGCCTCTTTTTATTTTCCATTGTGCATTAGAGCCGCGTCAGCTTGTTTTTTTTTCCACCGCAGGAGTCGGGCCGTGCCAACAACGTAACACGCTGTGAATGCAGGCGCACGTCGTAAAAGCGGTGATGCTTTGTCCTCGGGTGTGTTGACTGAAGTCGCATTTGGTGAATGCGTCATTAGCATCACCCCTGGCAGTAGTTGGTCTCCAACCAGATTAAGGATTCCGTTTGAGGCCAGCGTATCACGGTTTGGTTTCCGTTCAACATGGGAAACAGCCAGTGGAAAACCACTTGCGGTACCGCCAAGAGCCCCGCTCCGGCTCGTAATGTGCCAATGGAAAAGGGGGGTAACTCTACCAAAAAAAAATACACCATCGATTCTTTGCTGCTCCGATTGTGAGAATTTATTTCCAAGGGAGGAAAAAAAAACCGGGTTTTGCTAATTTCGCTTTCATGATTTTGGTGGCATCGAATGTGTTCAATGACAAACTTGGCGTGTGCAAGTTTGGTGTTTTAAAAGCGCGCGGTAATTCCCTGGGCGCCAAATTTTACTTTGGCCTGTGGTCGAGATATTGACGGTAGAGGGGTCACCCGAGAGGACGTCCACTGTTTAAAGACGAACCAATGAAAGTGCCCGATGTGTAGGAGCCCTTAAGTGGATTGATCATGGATGGTGACTACTCGTCTCACATTTAGTGACCATATAGATAACATTGTAAAAAGTTGCACTTAAGATTAGCAGACAATCGTGACCTAAACTCCATAGCTGCCCACGAAGTTATATTTGGGAGTTTTTGTTCGTTATAAAGAACGATTTAACGACTGCATACTTGGCACTTGCTAACATCAGGTGGAAACATTCCGAATGGAACTCTTACCTACTAATGGCTGACAAACGACACACAACGCTATCAGCAACAGTTTGTGACTTGGCAAGAAGCAATAATGTCCAGTTAAGCCATTTCCGTATATCCTTTTGGTAATTTGAACAGAGTGCATTTCGCAAAGGAACATTCATTTTGCTTTGTGTATTAATGCAAAATAGCTTTTTCGACAACTGTAGTGCGTTTAGTTGCGTGGGCAAGCACTGTTCGACTTGCTTGGATGCTACGAACCCGAAACGGTTGGAAAATTACAAGCAACACTTTCTTTGGATAACATTTTGCAGTGGTTTAATTTGCGAAATCATCAATGTAAATAACTTCTTTAAGCACATGTACAATTGAACAGCTTAAATGCACGTTTTGTATATAAGAATGCAAACCCCTGTCAACACAATGTGAAGAACGAGCTCACCGAAATTTTGGGTGAAAATGTAAAATCATTGTCAATTTCAGACCCTTTGTATAACGCGGAGCTAAAGATTATTGTTACACATTTGAATGTTTGGTGTAAATTGTATTGAAAGCACGTTCAGTTACTACATTTGGAGCAGTACATTTGGATGTTCGGGTTCTTGAATGCTCGAGTTGCTTTTGATAAAATTACATCTAGTTATAAAGCTAAATCTTACTTGAACAATAATCCGGTTCAAAATGTAATGGATTTAATAAAAAAAATCTACCTTACCTTCTCAATTTAAATTGTGATTGTGGATATTCAGTTACTTATAAAAGCGACGTTGAGCTGTTCCGCGCTGGTCATAAGCCAGCTATACACTTGTAAAACAGTTGTATGTCTGGTCACGACCAAAATCATTGACCACTAAACTGGTCAGTGACCCCCACCTTACCAACCCGCACTGACAACTATGGTGCACGATGGCCGTCTCTTAATGGCCGTGTCTCTCAGTGGTTTCACAATGGCCATGTCTCTCTCTCTCAGTGGGTTCATGTTTAGCATGATCAAACATCCGCCACCCAATTTATGACCGACATTGGTATGGGCAGGTCTTCATCCAGTGGCAGACTGACGGGGCTGTTGTACATTTTTATTTGTTTCATTACAAGGGAAAACGACAAAGGGAATGTAGTGTTGACAAGAGTAAGACCACATGAGTCCTTGGGCATGCTGTCCCAAAATAGTTTTTATTTGGGCAGACATTGCAAAGACATCACCACCGTTCTCAAAACGCCGGACAAATCAACAGCAAGTACACACAGCACATCCTGCCCTAAATGCCGGCCAGAAAAAAAAAACTGCGTTTCTACATAGATGAGAATATAAACGCCATGAGCAGGCACAGAATACTGGTATGACGGACCGCACCATCGCCTGCACATGGAGATGCAAACAAACTGGATTTGTTCTGGTTGGAAATTGGCACCAGAAGTATGTGGCATGAATGCAGTTCTGAAAAGACCTATCCATCTGCATGCGTATTCTTGGAACAGTGACTGCAGGGCAAGCCAGCTTTAATATTCGCGTCACTGCAGCCGGAGCAATCCAAGCACTGCATTTAGGCGAGCACACCAGTTCTCAAAATATGAATTTCTACCGTTGCACAGGTGATTAAATTTTTATATTGTACAGCAATTCAAAATGACCAACGCAGTCGGGTATTTAAAAACATAAAATAAACCTCTTGAAAACCCCAGGCCTTCTCTTGCACCGAGAAAATCTGGTAAACTGTCCCTCAATTCTACATTGACAGAGCGTGGAAAAACAGCACAAATTTTGATGTTCAGTTTGCATGGAAGCCACGAGAGCCGTGATGGTGCAGCACCATGGCAACGCTGCGAGAATGCACAAAGTTTAATTTCCCAGATTATCACGACAGCAAAAAAAACCGAGTACCATTCACGTGCTCTTACGCAAGGGTCGTCCTCATTTGAAACAATAGGCAGGTCACACTACACAAAACTTGCAGGTTTTGTTTAGCAAAGCCGTTAAAAGTATTTTGTTTGCTCCTGCAACCAAACACGTACTTTGTTTTAAGTTAAAGGCAAGCACGCGTGTCCCACGTGCTCGCCTCACAGCATTCTCTCGCTCATCCATCCATCCCTTCAGCACACAACCACTCTCAACATTTCCAATTTCCAGGGCTGAATTTTGGCCAAGGTTGCTTCAGTCCTGGGTCAGGCCAGCCCAGAGTGCCACTTTTCACTTCCATGTGAGTGACTAAAACAAAATGGAATTCAGGCTCCACCACATGCCACATGAGACGTTGCATGCCCTGGCAGTCTTATAACGACTTCAGCTTTGCACAGAAAGTGTACGCACCATAGCAGCATTCAATACTGAATTATAAATGGACTACCAGTAAACGCACTATAATCATCCTATGCATGTTTAGTGGCTGGTCATCAAAACTCATTCAAAAGCCCACTGTAATCATGTTATCAACATTTTAAGATGAACTTACGCATATTAACTACACGTTAAATGCTTAGCAGTACAGGATTAGGCTTGGAAATGCAATTAAGTAATAAAGTACATTATTCTCTCTTTTAACAGAGAGGGAGTAGGCAGCTGTTTTTTCCCCATCCGAAAAACTAGCCTAACTATATATTATTTTGTGCACTCGGCAACTCGCGGTAGAGAAAAAGGTACAGCTAAGCAAATTCCTTTATTTTGCTTTTTGCACTTTTAAGACACATGCAGTGGATTGATAGATTTTAATGCACGCTTTTTTTGTTAATCCGTTTCGTTTGTCACCATAAATATGCTGAGAATTGGGTGGTAAATAATTATCATTAAGTTAATCCAGATGTTTATACCTTGTGCGCGTATCGTGTCAAATGTACACCGATGCAAAAAGCAAAACTAGTTGAAAAGCATCATTTAGATGTGGTCTTTGTGAAGATCATAGGCTAGTCTTTACCCTCCCCTCCCGCCCCCCAGTTTTAAATTCCCTGGATTTTCCAGTGAACATCAAAACTAAACGATTAAATTACAGAAAACATTCTCAAGAGTAAGCCCACGCATTTAGTGAGTCTTCCTCGGCGGTATGACGTCCCCGTTAAACATCCCAATTCTGTTGTTCTGATCCACAAACACCACCAGCTGTGTCCGCAACAGAACGTGAAGTGTCGGATCGTGTTCACGAGTAAGGGAATATAATACAATGTACAACACTAAATCCAAACATTTAGCGGCAGCTGAGATTCCCCATCAGCGCAAAAGAAAGCATCGCATTAAACCAGTTGTATCCAACTTTGTCTTCTTTGTCTAAAATAGCTTGCATTTAAAAGTGACTCTAAGGAAAAGTTTGCCACTGGGTACGACGTAAACTTTTACCTCAAAGCCCCAATTCCAGCCATACTGCCCATATCGCCCACGCACCACGCAGTGCATCTATTTACACCACAAGTAGTAAGACGTTTCGGAAAGAAATTAACTCCTCCACAAAGTTAAATGGTTCTCCCTGACATGAGGCATCATAAAAGCATGCATGTTCGTTGTGTTGCGCGGGTTTGAGTCAGGGGGTGAATGAATATAAAGTGCTATTGTTCTGAAAGATGGCGACGTTGTGTAAGTAATAAAGCATCTTCACAATAACGTGTTAACCTATGCAGGCCAGCGTGTGTGTGCATCACTGTGGCAAGTGTGTAATTCCTGTGGCAGTTAATGACCAAGACTCGTAAAAACGCAATGTAACGCAGATTAACAGAAACAAGTAGGAGAGTAATAAACTTAAGACACCTTTTTGCAGCAGCCTTGCACAGCTGTGTAATGAATGAGCAGAGAGGCAGTCAAGGCAATTTTATAGCCGTGATACTTGTTAACACTACGCTATATATAGGGCGCCACGGTGGTGAGATGTTAACTACCTCGCCTAATATACAGGAATTCGTGGGTTCGATCCCAACCACTGAAGCCTATATATTTTGAGTTTGCATGTTCTCCCCATGGTTGTGTGGCCTTTTCTCCGGTTTTTCCCCTCCGCATATAGAATCAACGTCACGCGTTTAGAGTATTTGGCTGCTGTAAATTTCCGCGTGATGATAAGCCACTTTGTTGAGCTAAGATTTGTGGCGAGGTCGCTTTTGAAAAGAGAGCTGTATAGCTCTGTGGGCCTTACCTGGTAAAACAAAATATACATGTCACCGCGTGTGCAAGTGACACCAAGCGATAAGAAGCGAAGTTGAATTATATGAGTGACCTCACCTAACACGGGCGGGGGGTAGGGGTGTTGCCAACTCTGAGCACAGTCTGCATGAGCCTCTCCCTATTTCACAGACAAAAAAGGATTATACCCAAAGAAGGATTTGGCTTGAAGCCACTGCTCATGTGTGTACCACCGTGTGTGGAAGCGTACAAGTTGTACTATACTGGTCATTATTTCTAAAAATACACTTAAAAAAGGTTTGTTAGGAGCCATGGGAGAGGGCAATTCGTGCCATGGCATAGGGGAGGCAATCAGATCAAAAGACTCACGACTCCACACCTGAACCCCCATGAGCTCAATGGGGCTTCTTGGTTAAACCCCCCAAATAACTAAGTAAGCCCTTGAAAAGCGCCTAATATTAAATAACCGAACCGAGGAAGGTAAACGCCTACACGCCACAACAGCCCGATATAATTTTTTTTTTACAAAGGGCCAACACCATACACATATGCCACGGCCATGAAACAAAGCCCCCTGTACTGCACCCAGTCCGAGTGCACGAAATTATTTTGGCAGCAATGCACCGTGATGGTCCAGAGTGAAACCTATGCAGCCCCGGGCTGCGTCACGCATGAAAATCAAGCGCCGTGAAGTCACAGGCGATTCAGGGGGCCCACTTCTGCACGCAAGGGAAATCGGCATCACGCTAACTCTCTTTTTTCTTCGTCAAGGAATCCAAGACTTACGCCAATTACACCATGAAACGCATCAACTTGGGCTGCCGAAGGGAAAACAACGACCATGGTCAAGGAATATAAATTGAAACTTGCCCACGCTGTCTTACGTGTACCGTCCTGCCAATGCCCGCTATGAAATGTTCTTTTTGCAGTTGCTTTTATTTAGTTTTTATGGCTTCCTCGTAGCTTGGCTGAAGTGAGCCTCCCGGTTGACCCTCCGCCTCAAAGAGTTGCCCGACGCTGAGAAGCTCGCAGAAGCTGGTCGACAAAATTTGGGATCGCTGCAATGCAAAACGGCGTTGTCACGACGTGGGAAGAGGGGGGGGGGGTGAGGTGGGGGGAAATGCTACGGAGTTTGGAGCGGTGCTACCAGACGGTCACGCTGGTCTGATCGTACTCCATGATGAGGTGCTTGATGTGAGACAGCTTGTGGTGCAGATACTGGCAGCGGTGTTTCTGTTCACGGAAATTTGGGTTGATCTGGAGTTGAAAGGAAGGAAGCGGGGCAAACAACTGCTAACATGAGCTCAAAGTCAAGCCAATGCTGTGATGCAAGATCAAATTACGAAATATAATATATTTTAAGTTATTACATTTTTACGAGTGCGGCAGTGTGGTCATGCTTCGTGCATCACATGGCTGTTATTTAAGCAAGCAAAGAATGTGCAATCATCTATTACAGCAGAAATGTATATCTACACGAAGCAGCAGGCACCTTTAAATATTAATCTAACAACTTAAATTAATGACTCTCATACCCTGAATATGCTTACCTTTTTTATCTGCTTGTATTCTTTCAAAACTTGGTCCTGAACACTCTGCAAAATAAAACGAAACGCGTTATGGCAAGGTGTTTATTCAACGGTATAACCAGACTTAGGTTGACCGCTGGGGTGCGCACACAGCTGGATCCGCAAGCCTGGCTTCGACAGCGTTTTACTAGATATGTACTACAAACATTGAAGAAAGACCCTTCCGATGTATAGGCGAAAGGAAAGGAAACCCTCCCCACGTCAAAAATCAAAAAAATCCGCTTCACAACACAGCTTACATCTGTTTACCACATCAGAGCCCGCATGAAGGCGCATCAACGTGCACATTTTATTGCTGCGCCCCTGACTTATATTTACAGCGGCTATTTTGGTCTAGACGTCCATGCGCAAGCGAAGTGCATGCGTGTGTGTGTGTGTGCACGCGTGGCCACGCGCGCTCCGACCTTGTACTCCTCTGTGCTGGGCTGCAGCTTGCGCAGCTTCGCGTCGAGTTGCACAAAGTGCTTCGTGACGTTCTCGATGCGAGCGTGCAGCTCCCGGTACTCCTCGTACTCCGCGTTGAAGTCGTTCTTGTAACTCTGACGCTGCTCTGGGGACGCGATGGGTTTGTAGTTTCTGTCGGGTGGAAAAGGTTCGGGGGGAGGGGTTGGCAATCATGGGATTTGGGTGTGATGATACACCCCCCCGAAGGCTCGTGTTGTACACAGTTGTGTGGATTTTTGTTTTTGGCTGTGGTTTGAGTTTCAATGTGTTTTAGCGAAACAATATCTGTTTTGACGAGAAAAGATTTCAAGGTGATATATCAGCAGTGTGTACAATTCTCACGTTACGTTCAACCCACAAGTAAAGATTGTTATCTCAACGGACTCTTTATCTGGTTACAAAGTTTACGTACTGTATACAGAGATTCCAACGCATTAGTCAGTACGTTTCCACTGTACAAATGACAACATTTTCAGATGAAAACATTGGACTTTAGCAGTAAACAAGTGCAAACGTTAATGTCAACGCTTCCCTACAAAATAAACAAAACGTGACTTTTTACAACGGGGAATTACCACGGACCATTGCAGGACAGTGCTCGGTGCACATTTCATAGGGGGGAGGTGGATTTCTTGACTTGGTACACAAACTCTGACACGTGAAATTCGTGTCGCGCTCACAGGGGCAGACCATGACACGTACAACGTGCGAGACTCACAGCACATAGTCGGGGACATCTGCTGTTGAAGTTGTGACATTTAGAGTCATGTCAGCCTCGGTGTCCCCTGGGCAAAAACACAAAATACAACGTTAAAAAGAATACGCACGCAAGTACTTCACAAACCCAAACGTTTTACGCGACTAGGGCTAATGGGTAGAATTTAAATTATCTGAAGAGGCGATTTCATTGGGCGCTCACTTTAGTGCCAGCGACAAATAAGTGAGCGCGTATTACCTCAATCAGGTTTGCACCTAAGTTCCAATTATTTGTTTCCGGTTAAGTTATTTTCAATCCTGGGCACGATTTAATTTTCCAAGCAGACACCCGAATTTACAACACCAAATAAACAGCGATGCTCCATAACTTCATTGTCCCCCCGTTAATAGGACTGTCATCAAAATAACTGCTCCACAATTATGTGGGATGTGCAGTAGCAAATGCCGCCGTGGAAACAACACTCCTCTTGGCAAGTGCACCGTGTGACATCACGTCAAACTAATCAACTAGAACTAAGGGTATTTACAGAATGGAAGTGTTCACATAATGGCAGGGCAATTACACGGAGCGACGAACACATTTGTCGGTGACGAAAATCAGGCCGACGGGAACGGTCCGTCCACCGCGCGTTCGTGCCGATTCTACAGTGACTGCCAATCAGCTGCAAGGCAACACAAGAGGGCAACATTGTGCCGCCCATTCATTACAATCGCCTGTTCGCCATTGCAGCCCACTTACCGAGTGGGTTGTCTCTGGGTCCGTACAAACAAAAATATCCCAGGAACAGAAACATAATTCAGTGTAGTTAAATACAAGCACACATTTTGTGTGGATCGCTAATTTCAGCTGTGCAGAGTTTCTGAATATTTTTTTAAATAATTAAAAAAAAAACTTATTACTATGAGGCTGAGTGGACAAATCATAAATACAAGCCCCGATGTAATTCAATCCATTCTAAATGTGCATGCGCATAATAGTAAATAAAATATAGGAATGACACTTGCAGAACTGCCAACCTGTCAGCTGTGAAATTAATAACAATCGAGGTCATCCCTAACAACAAGCAGTGAAGCAAGGCTTGGTACTGTTACGCCCTCATGTATTGAAAGCCAACAGTGACCTAACCATTTCAATGCTATAGTTGAGAAACTGCGCCGATGTTAATGACAGGAAGTAGTTACGAACGTGGGCCAAGGGTTTACACTCTCTGAATCGACGCCCCACTGCAGAGCGCTACTACTAAATGCCGCCTACACGCCGCCTTTGGCGGGGCGCCCACAATGGGCAGCATCCCAGCGACTAATGCGATACAGCTGCTTTGTAGCTGCCATCCTCGCTTGAAAACTGATTAGCCTCGTAGAGGCAGCGTACTCGTAGAGCAGAATGGCAAAGGCGGCACAACAAAGAAAACAGCTTTGTTCCGACGTGAAGCCTAATTTTGAACAGGCGGTTGCCAACACACTCCAAATCTGTATCTACATGAACTCAATCCTGTGCTGAAAACCCAGAAACTAACATACTTTAATAAATAATTTACTTAGTGCCAGGCAGGTCTCTCCCTGCCCGCACCACGTGATCCATTGTCCCTTGCAGACCAATCTATCCGAGGGTTCTACAAAAACGGGATGCGCCATCTCCTCCTTCGGTGAGAACAAATTCGAGTAATGTCTAATCTGACCAACATCAACATCACCAAATGATAATTAACAATAAAACTTAACAATTCAACCCAATTTTATATATGCATTCCTCCTTTCTTTTCCTGGAAACGTTTTGTGTGGGGAAGATGGGCGAGACGGGACTGTGTTGGCGACTGTCTATAAAGACTGGGCTGAACGCAAGTACAACGGCACTGCTTATTCATAGGGCGGTGTGCCGACAATCCAAATCCGTACTTATGAACCTGTAACGGAGCCTTTTTCAGGCGGAGGGAAAACTTTTCCCCCCTTCCTGCCTGGGAAATATGTCAGGTCTACCGTGACGCCGCCGCCTAGAGACAGCCCTCCCTCACCGGCCTTCCTGGGACAGCAGCAGCATGTCCAGCCGGGAATGCCGTGTCAATGGTGCGGGGGAGAATGCCACACGGCCACTCTGCAGATCTCCGCCAGATAAACTCCAGCCCTTCCGAGCTCACAAGGCCGCCAAGGCCCTGGTCGAGTGGCGATGACACCGGCCCACCTGACCCTTGCCTTATATGCCTCTTGAATGCACTCAGGCACCCTCTGCATAGAGGCTGGTTGCCGCTTTCTTGTGCTGACCGTACAACACGCAAGGAACGGCTCTGGCCGAACCCAACCCGTGCAGCCTGCCCCCCCTCCCCCCACGTGCCAGTGAAAAGGCCCAGGGTAGAAAAAAGCAAGTACAATATTCTGGTTCACGTGAAGCTCTGCCAAGGCCTTGGGAACAAACCCTGGGGATGTTCTCAACAACTGCTCTTTCCCTTGACATTACTGTAAAGGGAGGGTTGTAGCCATCAAAGCTTGTAGCTAGCTAACCTTTCTTGCCTCGGTTATGGCCATCATGAACACTGTCTTAAGAGTCAAAAGACGTTCCAGGCAGACAGCGGAAGGCTCAAAAGAAGCTTTGCAGAACTGCAATAAGCACCAGATGAAGGTTCCAGTGGCTCCTACTCTTCCTTTCTAAGTCAGTAAATAATCAATGCCTTTTTTTATCCTGCCCCTTGTTCAAGGTTTCCTCTCCGGAACCAACTCCATTCAACAGGAATCTTAAAAAAAGCTGACCAAGTGTTCAACAATGACATGAAAACACGGCCACTCCCCGAGTCATTAATCAACATTTGATAAACTTAAGGGTGTGCTCATATGTTGGCCAATAAATAAAGTGCAGTATTACCACGTGGCTGCCAATTGAGAAGTCAAAAAGGTCAATCTTGCTTCTGCACCGGTGCTGGGCTCCCACCGGACACGTTTTCTCGGGGAGCTACTTGGGCTGCGTCCACCCATCCGGTGGAAAAAGCGCCAACAATGAAGCTACGCCCAGCACATTCCAGTTCTCTACCAGAGTCTATGGGTCTCCATGCTAGTCTACATCCAACATGTGGTGATAATGCACCAGAGCTGGGCTCCCATGAAGACGCCAGCTCTCCTGGGAAGCCGCACGGGCTGTCTGCACCCGTCTGCTGCGGCACACGCCGATGATGCAGCCACCGCCAGTGCGTTCTATTCACTCGGTGAATCCGTGCGAAGCACCCGAGGAGACGGGAGAGAACCCGAAGCGGGCTTTAACTACCTCGTCGATCCAGAGCCGCGGGACGCCACCGAGGGAGCGGGATGCGACCCGAACGCGTACCTTCGTTCACTTTGGGATTGAGGTCCATCTCCTCCTTGATGTTCTCGATGTCCTCGCGCGCCTCCGCGAGGCTCCGTGCATCCTCGTCTTTCCTCCTCTCCCGGTCTCGGTTTTTCTTGGCTTTCTTTCTACTCCTCGCGCCGGCGTCGGAGGCCCGCTCGGCCAAGTTCGAGGCTCCCTCCCGCGTGGCGCTGTTGTCATTCGCAAGCGTTCGCTCGGCTTGGCACTTGCCCTCCTTGTCCGCGACGCAAACGTCATCTGTCCTGAGGCCGGTGGCCGTCCTGTGCTCGGTCGCTCTGGCTGCAAGTGGCTCGGCGCCGGCGTCGCCGTCCGGCGAGGACGTCTTGGCGACGGAGCTGGAGCTCACCTGACTCGACTCCTCCGCCGGAGCTTTGGAGACGTTCTGCGCGCCGGCCGCGGCACCTTCGTCGGAGCTGCTCACAAGAGTGAAGGTGGTGTCGCAGCGGCGTTTGGCCGACTCGGCGCCGCCGTCCGAGCTGGGCCTGGCCGTCGTGTACGCGTTGCCGGTGGTTGGGATCGGGCGATGGGGCTTGGGGACCGACCCCCGCGGAGCCACGGATTTGTTGTTTGCGTGACCGTTGAATGTGGGCGGCACGCGGCTCGTCAGATGCGAGACGCGCTGTTTCTTGCTTGCCTTTGGGTCCACAAATTCTGCCGGAAGCGTTCGCTTTTGCTGCTGTAAGCAGAAATAAAATTGTAAACACCTGGACGTTAATTATTTACGTTTTCAAAATGATTTCCTGTCACATGTACCTGTGCCAAGGTTGCATGGTGCCGCCAATGCACAGATGCAGCCGATGCAAGCATAAACAAAATATTTTGGCATCAACGGAAAAAAAAATCGCTGGGATTGAACACAAACTCAATGCCGAGTAACATCTTGCGATTGTTCCAGAGGATGCTGTTACCTGTGGAGTAGACGCATGGCTGTCTTTAACAGGGCTCAACCTTGCCAGTGGTTCAACCATAGCTGGAGAATTTTGACTCTGCGAGCTCTGCAGTCCAGAGGATTTCCTATAAAATACAACATCACATCGCGCTCAATAGCAGCAAGCATATGGTGAAGCACAGGTAGCTCCACAGTTACGTTTTTTTGCTAGCTTCTTGCCCTGCAGAGAAATCCTGGGCTCAGCCCGAGGAACAAACTGCACAGATGTACATACTGCAAAGCAGCAGTGCCTTTTTGAGTTTGGTTTCCCTGCACAACATTGTTGGGTAATGCATATTCATCTGATAAAAGACAAGTGGTCACTGATGCTGGATGATGGAACAAACTACAGGGTCTGGGTCTCAACACGAAGGCACGTTAACCAAGTCGCATACGACTCTCCTCATCCCTGTACGTGTAGTGCCCCTTGGTTAATCCACTGCTGGATGAGGGACTCCTAAAGCAGGGGGGGGGGGTTATTTGGTTATTTGACCATACTTCACCACGCTGGTCAGTGCGGGTCAGAAACGTCAGAGCATGGTATAGTACAATGGAGATTGCTGCACTACCTTCTGCAGCAGCAACAGAAGCAGCTTATGACACCTGTTTCATACACAATGGTTGCCTATCAAAGCAATATCCAAGCTCAAACCAGCTTAGTTTCTGAGCTTTCACGACAGTGGAGGCATTCCAGGTGTCATAACTGTAACAGCGGCTTACCCTGCTCCTCTTACCACCATGGTGTTATATACTCCACCGTTCGCTTTCACAATGGAAAATGCAGCTCTATGGGCAACGGGAGGCTATGCAAGGTTGCTCTGGTGTCCCTTCCTTGCGTTTTGACCCTGTGCTCATTAAATTTCTCCATAAATTCTGCACAGCTGCAAATTCTTACAACGGCGAAATTTCCAAGAACACGTTGGGCACGCGGGCTGTTTTTGGGGACACTTTCGTTGAAATAATTAAAGGCAGAATTGCTTGCATCATCACACGCGCAGTAGGGGAGACCAGTCTAGAGAGTGCACAAGTACAATCTGATAAAGAAAATATTTAAAGTGCCGAAAGGGAATTAAATCAGAGGCAAAACTACAAAATCCAAAAGGGCCACGGCATCACTCAACACATTGCAAGGCTTATCAAAGCAAGCGCATTTTCAGGCGTCAGTGAATAGTCCTATCAACACCTCACAAAACTACAAAATGTTCATACGCGGCCAAAACGCCTCAAGGGGGCAATTTCATTCTTATGCAACAGTAATCCATGGCGGCAGATCATTAAAAAAAGTCGCGTTACATAAACTTGCCGAGATCCACAGCATTAAGGTCATAGGTGAAATGGCAGGCTCAATATGATTAAGCAAAATCTTTTAAAGACATCGATATTAACTTTCCATTGCACAAGCTCATGCTTCCCTCCGTTGCTCGTTTGGATTTATATTTATACATTTTTAGTTCACAAAGCCGTGGGAAATTACTGCCATACAATGTCAAGCAGTTGGTCAAGTTTGATGCAGCATTTCCAATAAAGAAGCCATTTACACGTTTCAACAATTTCATTGTATAGGGAGAACTTGCAAAACCATTAACGTGACACTTGAGCAATTGTTTCTTGCTGTGGTTGTCCCACCTGATGACGGACGCTTGTGTTGCGCCCGAAACGTCGTGATTTAATTTATTTTATACCTACGTGACTTTACCGAAAGGACCAAAGAGTATGGATCCCTGCAGTCACGAAAACTTCAAATCTAGAGTGACATTGGCTGTCTCCAAAAATAGAGCCTTCACGAACTTCACTGAAATTAATGCAACTAATATTGAAATGTCAGCACACACTGAACCCGCCGCTAAAAATGTGCCTGCTAGAATTTTTAAAGATAATGAAGTGAAAACGTATCCCAATAAAAGGAAATAAAAAAAAATACATCACTGTCCATACTGTTGAAATGCAACAGCGTCTATTTTTCTAGACAGCTGTAGGATATAGCACGTGGAGGCTTCTCACCGTGCCACAAGCCTCTGCATCAGCTGCCTCTCCTCCTCCGAGTAGCCTGGCCAATCCTTTTGGAGCTCCCGGTACAGAGAGTCTCTGAGGGTGAAAGTGTTGTCCTTCGCATTGAGCACTGCCACCTGATGAGGGAAAAATGAAAAACAAAAATTAAACAACAACAGTCTCAGAACACCACTCAAGACAGCTCTACGTTCACAGACAATTCGCTTATGTTAAGCAGTGGCGGTCAATGACCCCTGAAACAAAGAAGCCTCTATTCCCCTTGCGTTCATACACAAGCAGACTTTTCACTGGACTCTCCATTACTACGCAACAGATGTAGCCGATGCATTCAGTTGCTTAGTGGCAGCGGATTCTCGTAAGTGTACATTGCCGGGATCTACGGTGATAAAAGCGTGAATTGCGGGCTCACTCAAAGGTGACTCTAAACGCTGCCTCCAGTGCATCGGAACTCCCCTCTCATTTTGAGTCGTACCAATTGATGTTTGACAATGAGCAACCAATCAGTGTCTTAAACCTGAATAATATCACTGGGCGCTGGTGACATCTGCTGGCTAGTCAAAAGCGTGAGAGCCTCCATCAATCTTTCAAACGCTCTTTCAACTGCCCTCCAATCAAAGTCCCCGGTGAACAGATGGTCCGAGACAATGCACGAGAGAGCGCCTGGTAATCCCTGGGTCATTAATCACAATGGGACGGCATGCTCACGTGTGAAAAACCAGCCTCGCGATTGTCAGCATTTGAAGAGGCGATACTGTTCGAATGCAGGAATGGCAGGCTTGCGTGTAAATTAGGAACGCAGTATACCGACTGCTAATATACACCTGAATTACTGTACGCATGAAACCGTATAAAACATTCACGACAATCATGAAAGAGTCCAAGAGACTTTGTAATACACCGAAATTACACACAGTCTAACAGATTTATCTATACTGCCATTTTTGACTCCAATCTTGCAGATGTTCTACTAAAACATTGAATTACAGAATGGAAATCATAATCGGGGTGCATTTTGGGTGCAAGCATCAGACAGCGACAGCAATCATCGGTGCTCGTTTAAAAACGGCCGGGGCAACTGCGGCACAGAGATGACAGACGCTGGACGGTGCATTTAAGGACACATGTAAAGCGGTGGATGCATATATTAGCCACGAATACACAGCTGTGACTTAACCTAGATATATAATGGCATTAACCAGAACCCCAGAGCATCGGCCCCTAGCAATAGCTTTTCATTACTGCAGAGTGCAAAGGCTTGTCACTTGCTTGATAAAAGCCAGACAAAAATAGCAGAAAATGTAAATCCTATTTGTACTCAAACGCTGGCCCCCATCCCTGCACAGCCAGGTGTGGGTGTCTTGCTTGCAAAAACACAAATTTGCTCCTCCCTGTCCGCTTATAAAGATGTCACTGCTTCGCCGCTGATGCAAATTGCACGCTAAGTGGCGTACATCAATCTTCAAGTCCCAGGTCCACACAGGGAAGCAATGTCCATTTTTCAAAATGAGGCCCAAGCTGAAAGACGGTGAGTCAAGTGTAACACATCGGCGAGATTGTAACTTTGTTCCAACTATCCTACTAGAATATCAAATGTTTTTAGAATTTTTTACAGGATTACAGCATTTCCGAAATTTTTTACCCAACAGGAAAAATAATCGTGTCCTTTTCTTCAGGACAATAAAAGTTATAATGATCATATATCACAAGATAATCAATTTCCTATGCTTTACACATGCTGGTTGTAATTACCGGTGAAACGTCGTACTCGAATTGTAAATGTTGTGGGTTTACTTTCCAACACTAGTAACGAATTAGCACGTTTTGACTTAAAGCTTTCGCGACTACAGGAATTAATATTCTTTGGGTCTTAAGAAAAATAACAAAAATAACAAAAATATCACGACGTCTCAATCACAACATAAGCGGTCGAAACGTCGTGATATTTTATTAGTTTAAATTTTTTTTAATATATATCTACGTGACTTTACCGAAAGACCCAAAGAATATGGCATGTTTTGTTTACGTGACAAACCTGACTCATTGGCTGTGTCGGGTGGTGGCGGGTTTAATGACATTCATATTTAAGTGAACTAACCCAAAAAACCTCTTTTATGGATGTAGTAGGAACAAATGTTGTCTTAAACTACTTGATGCAATTTTGAAATGTCTTTGCCACTTCCGCTTACACCATCCACATGTTTGCTTTCAGCACAACTGAAGCAATTATGCAAAAAAAAAAAGCCTGAGCCCATGTTTTGCTTTAATTCTCCAACAATGTGTAATTTCACACATGCGCTATAGTGCATTTACCGTATAGCATGAGCACCACTACATCGTTTGCTATGAACCGTCAACGGTCACACCTGCAACGGCACCCAAGTCGAGGCTGTTGCCGCGAGACGGAAGACACGGGTGTGCCACTACAGCGGGGGTAGCTGGTGCCGCCGCAACGCCACCGCTCACCTCATGGCCAACACGGTGATGGCACGCAGCGTAGTATCGACAAGGCTCAATTATTACGGGGCGTCTGGTAAAAAAACATTACAGAGCTGCAGCGTGTACAACATTCTTTGGCACATGTCGTGACGGGTACTGCAAGATCCGCCCATGCCTGTCCAGTGCTTGCTGAGCTGCATTGGCTTCAGGTTGCCAAAAGATACATTATAATAAGGTCGAAATGAATCACAAAGCCTTGCTGATTTCGTCAAGGCGTGAACTCTGGTCATCCTTGCAGCAGCTTTTGGCTTGCCATTGAACAAAGATGGTCACTGTATTGCGCACGTTCAGATGCTTTTCTGCGGCCATCTGGAACGCTCTCCCCCCAGATATTAGGAAGCCACTAGAGCTATTCACTTTTACACCTGGACTGAAAACTTATTTTTGTGCGTTCAGTTTGTTGTCCTTCCCTCGCACCTCCGATTAGCACGGTTGGCTACGTACGGTGGGAAAGACGTTCAAACAAACACACATACCTGTGTGAGAACAGGGGAGAGCTGCATCTTGTCGCGCTGGTTCACACCATCCCGCTGCAGGCGCAGCAGCAGCTCCGGCTTCTTGTAGGGCTTGAGCGCCAGCAGGTGCATGACGCGCTCACGGTACGACCGCTGGGACACGGACGACGGCACGCTCGGGGGGGTGGCGACGTTGCTCTTGCGTAGCGCGCCAGCGACGTTCACAGGCATGGAGCGCTTGCGGCCCGGCGCTAGGTCCAGCGTACTGGCGGGCAGCTTGCGCACCGTGCGCTTGCCTGCAGGCCGTGGGATGGGAGGCAAAAGCAGCAGCAACCATTGTTTATTTATTTCAGCGTTGACAATCGTAGAATGCACGGTTAGCGCAGGCCTGAACCATGCTAATGGTTGACTCTCAGGATAAGTGCTGCTACTTTGCTAGGTAGTGCCTGTGCATAGATGTTGCTTTGCACCGACAATGCTGTAGTTGTTTTAAACATCTACAATTTATAGGCCATTCTGGAAGGCAGCCAACATTCACACAATTGGGGACCTTCCAAACAATGATGGAAACCTTGATTAATTCCAAAACATGCGGGCCCCCAACATGACCTGCCAAACTCCCATTTCTACAAATTCCTTCCGATCGGAGACATTATTACACAAAACCCCGAGCAAAGACCTGTGCGGCACACCCCCACCCCCTGATCAAGTAACCTCAGGTGGTGAGAAAGACAAGATGGCAGAAGCATACCGACTTCTTCACCCTGGGGAGGAACAGGCCAGACTAAACACTCAACGGTTATGGGAGAGACAGATTATGGGAGAGCCAGTTAGGTTATGGGACAGCCAGTTAGGTAGTGGCAGAGCCAGTTAGGCCAACTCACTCCCTCCCGGCAGAAAGGGACACAGATCTGGCGTACCACTTCCTTAAGCCCTCGATCTCTCCCACTAAAAAAAACATCAAATTATAATTTATACATGGAAGATACCTCGCCAATGACAAGAGGTTAACATTTTCCACCACCTCTGTGGACTGCCCCAGATACCATCCAGAAATATCACCATGCCTTCTCCGGTCAAGCCCGGATATCGCTGAGGTTTTACTTTACGCATCACTAAACACGACAACAGAATTAGCTCCACAAACATTACACCCTCAATTGACGACTCCTCCCTTTGGGGCTCAAAACCTTGGGCATATCAAATCTGCAGCGCAACCAAGCCAGGGCTTCAATATCTCAGCAAGGAAAGCCATGCGAAGTGGAAGGAGACCACCAGCCACCCACCATGAAACACTGGTACCATTCACTGTATACACTGGCAGCGATAGAAGATCTCAGCTATAAACTAAAAGGAGAGAGAATTGGACGCAATATGGGATTCTTTGTTTAACAGCCCACACAATATAGCCCCCCCCCCCATCATCCAGAACCTTCTTGGAGAAGGGTCTGGAACAAAAGAAAATAGGTGAACTAGCCCTGAATATACTGACGAGAATCAAAGGGAGGGTGAGGGGAAAGTGTTTAAAGACCGTAGTTTTTTAACCACCCACCCGCAAGTTAGTCTCAGACCCCCCCCCCCGTTTTTAAATATAGTTTCCCACCCCGCTTCCCCCCCTCCTCCTCCTCCCACCCCCTACTTAACCAATTCCAAGACGTCTGCAAGTTTCAAGGTGGGTCCCGTCCACCGCAGAATCTTGGAACGCTCGAGCGGTTGAGTGTTAATTTCATTTAGAGGTGCAGCGTCGCTGTTTTTTAAAAAGACACTGTACTCACTGCAGAGAAACGGAGCGACACAACCGCACTCTACGATAGCTGGCGCCAAACTGTGCCACACGCCCTCCCACACGGCCTTTTACTTCCGATTCCATCCGTAATCGGTTCCAATGACGTAAACATACGGAACCGGAACGGAATCGGATGAAAAACGGATGACATACACGTACATCATCATGCAGAGGACACAACCCAAGGGTATTCTCTCCTGTATCCGCCGGATATACAATGGGTTCAATTGAACAGAAACCTTTTACAATTTACAATAAATATTGAATTTATCCAGCATTAAAATACGTCACAAGACAATGCACAGAGCACTGGGCATACTTTTTTTTATTTTATATATTTAAAAAAAGTGCCACAAGAAGAAATAGCCAGTTGTCGAGCCTGAACTTGAACTGTGGCAGGGAGTTGACAGCATGGATAGCAGGGGGGGGGGGGGGGGGTGGGGAGTTCAAGATTCTGGGAGCAACAGAAGAAAACGGGCAACATCTCACTCAGCAAAGGTTGACTGGGGGGCTTTTACTGGAAGCCTTGGGGTTGCTGGAGCGGAAGTTTTGGAACCGATCTGAGATAAGACCACCACGTTAAGGCAAAATGTGAGAGTGCACAGTGAAGTCGGGTTCATAGAGTCCACGGCAATATTGAGTTGCTCGTCAACTGCATGGAAGTGATGGTCGGCATTACAACTAGACGCGTGTTTTTCCAGGAGGGAGGAGATATAGTGAGATGAGCGGGTGGGGAGGAGGGGTCGAGGACGGAGTGTTGTAGGACACCACAGCGCAGCGGCTTTGAGAGCTCAAGGAGCTAAATCTTTTAATCAGGAGAAACACGTGGGAAAAGCCACTCAATGCTGAGAAGCAATCTGAGAGAAACCACCGAAGCAATGTCCATGCCGATTGTCAATTTCACCCAACTATGACCCTTTGATTTTTAACGCAACTTAGGGAAAAAAAAGTTAATGTTCAGACTGGCAGTGCTGCACGCACGCAACAATGTATAACGCCGCGTAAATAATATATGTGCAGGTATATTAGGGAAGGGATGAGATTGAATTGGAAACAAATCGCGCGAGTCAGCATAACGTTTTCGCGCAGACCTGGAGAGCAAATCGCGGGTGAAAAATGCCAGCCCCAGGAGGGGATGACAGGAGCGCAAAATGGGACTCCTGCCAGGCATCTCATCAATCGAGGATGCAGGCTGCCACGTTGACGGAGCGTTTACGTTTGGAGAAGAGAACGTCCCACTTTCCCTCCCACTGCAATGTCGTGTTCAGCAATAACTCTGCGCGGAAATTATACGCTTTCAAACACCACTAATGGGTGCCTGAGGAAAAATAAAATTAAACAGGTATTGAATGTGCTGTGGAGTACATTATACCCTTCATGGAGATGAAAATTACCAATTAGATGAACCTGTCATATGCACCAAGCAGAGAAGATTAATGGGCACTCTTTTTATTATTATTCAACAAAAACACAGCTCAAACCCTTAGTGTTTGCATAAACGTTCAATTTCCGTTTTAATGTCTGCGGTGTTATCACCCATTTTTATTTTAATAAACACCTCCAAGTGTAGCTCTAAGGAGAACACCTAGTTAGAGAAAATATGACGATGCTGTGACGATTTCCTGCCTCAAAATGTCTCATTCTGCAACAAATCAACACTTTTGTTCTTCTTCTTCTCCTTTTATCAACGGTGCACTGACACAGCAGCGCCACCGCCAATAAATTAAACGTAAATCAGATCACCAATTCGGTCTGGAAAATGTCACGTAAAAGAAGCGTCTCGCCCTGATTAAAAGGGACCGCTGCGCGGAAAGAGCGGCCAGCTGCTCCAACCCTCCTGTCCCCGCTGTCCCCCACCCCTCCTCCTCCTCCCGTTTCCATTGCGACTTCTTACGTCAAACGCTTACCGCGGCAACACATTAATATATTTATTTATATATTTCTTCAAGTGACGCAATTCCCAGCCACCTGTGCCGAGTAAAGCCACTGGAATGCATTGAAAGGAAGATGATGGTGGCGGTGGTGGTGGGCAGTCACCGCTGCAAGCTGTAAATATGAAAGGGGAATGGAGACTGCCTACGTGGGTATCCCAACATATTTATCCAATACAACGGCACGCCTCCCGGTGCACCAACGTAATAAACAGGATGCTGTGTGGCGAGGATACATATTACGCAAACGGGCAACGTGTTGTGGTTGGAAGCGATCGTCCACGACAGCTTTTTCGACATCAGCAACGTTCCGCTATGCTTATTTACCACGGAGAGAGGCCTCGGCTAGAATGTGGGTATTATTACCCTAAAGCAGCGATGCCAATGAACTGCAAACAGCGCCTTTGTCTAAACGCACCCTTGGGATGTTTTTTCATCTCATCGTTATTTCTCGTTTACTGATATATTCACAGCTGTGGATTGATGAAGGAACATACGTTTTACATGTTTTTTCTTATTTTATAAGGATGCCAGCACTTGAATTCCCGTAAACTGCATGATAAAAAGCAATTTGCAAAAAGAAAATAACGGTAATTTTTTTTTAGGCTAACGCATTTAAAAAGCAGGATTTTAATAGACACGCGATTTTCACCGGTGACCAGGTGCAACTCCTCGTAATTCTTCAAGGTCCTGCCATTTGCTCTGCCCGTAAAGAGCTGTCTGAGTGAGAGAACTTGCCCGAAAATGCCACAAGCCCCTGCAAGGGCAAGCTGCTCCAGAAGGCTTTCTTGCAGCCCTCGCCTTGTCAAATATATTAGCCAGCAGCAGCGCCGGATCCTCCACGAGCGAGGGCTTGTGCGGAATGATTATTCTTGCCACCGCCACGTCCACCAAAGACAGCATTATCACGTCTGGTCTTCTGAGAGGTCATATCTCTTTTCAACAGACTTGGGACGACCGAAAACTCTTTGCGGGGTTTCCTCATTCTCGGCGCGCCACGTCTAACATATGCAGGTTGAACTGCATGCTTACAGCCCTATGAAGCGGGCACAGCGGGGCTTATTCTTGCCCTTGTCCTTATCCTGAACATCCTCTGTGGCAAAGTTAGAAGCTATAACCTCCAGCGCAACTATCAACTTCCTCCCTCTCCACATTTTGACGTTCCCATGAACGAAGTGTTTGACGAGAGCCCTCCATCCCCTGCCGAGCGAGACGGGACTGAGGAGGAGCATTCGCCCGCCTTCCGCTTAGGGGAGGTGGCCTCTTCCTCAGAGGATTCCTCCTCCTCTTCCACTGCAGCCTTATTTTTATTCTTTGGGTCTTTCGGTGAAGTCATGTAGATGGGTTCAAATTAATAACATAAACAAAAAACTACGACGTTTCGATCACAACAAAAGCCATCGTCATCAGGAGGAAAAAAAAGGCCTTATTTTTCTTTAGGGGAGGCCTTACCTCCTAGTGTTTTAGAGGGGCCTGGCCTGGGGCTCCTTGGGGGGCATTGCTGGCTGGTACCCCATGAAACAACATACACCGCAGCCTGTCTGCCAGATGAAGCCTGGGTCACTGCAGGCCTTCGATCGAGGCCATCTCCGAAGCCGCTCTAATGGCCCTCACCCTCTAGGCATTCTCTGGTTCCCGAAGCCTCCATTTCCCTGACTCGCCTTCTGAGTCCTCAATTCCTCCTCACTTCCTCCTCACATGCCCGAGGCAGTGGAGACACGAGTACAGGTCGCTAGGCATCAGCGCCGCACCAACTACTTGCAACCTGCGCACAAGCGCTGCCATGCTGTATGGACAGAGAGCAGCCTCGTGCTAAAGCTTGTTTTTTCAATAATTAACGTGGAATACGCACCTCGGTTGTGGTTTCCACAAATACAGTTGGGTCTACGGATGACCTTGTGTCCGCCCTGGTAAATTAAAACTATTTCATCTGAACATGTAGGCTTTCATCTTACGCTTCGCAGATTTAATTGAAAAACTGTGGCACCTGAGGGGTCACGTGGTGCTGGCGGGGGGGGGGGAACCTGCCCCCTCCCCTCGAGGGGAGAGGGATTAGAGCTCCCATCCACGGTTCAAAATTCATCAAATAATTTCGAGGGTTTCTGTAGCGTCAGGCACAGGATGTTCGATGGTCACCAAGCCAGAGAGCGTCAGTGAACGGCCACGTCAACAAGTCATTGTTCACATTAAAACTTTTACAAATTGCGATCGCACACGACAGAAGTCACAGCTCTGCAGTGGCCAGTTGAAATACACTTCTGCACAAGCAAGACAAGTGATATGTAAATACAAGCAAACTTGTAACTGCTAACCCCGATTTCTGCAGCACTGCTTATGCAACACGCACATCACAGCTGGCATACATTTTTGCACCTCGCAGGAATGACTCGTGTCCCGTGAATAAGCGCAAAACAGGCTGGCCAACTCAGTGCACTGTGCTCCCAAGCGCACTATTGTTTTCATTAGTCACTTGGCAGGTCACACGTTTGTGGGGATAACAGTATGGGCATTCCCACCTCCTCCCAAGATGTCTCGGCCACCAAAGAAGAGTAAAGAGTAAACCAAAACGCCTTTGAGAAGGCGCTCTCGAGAGCTCCCTCGAGGAGAGGCCCTTCTGCCGCCAGCGGAATTAAACAAGTCATTGCAGGGCTGTACCTTTGCCGTAATGCTGCACTTTGCTTTGTGTAGAGGAACGTCTTGTTTATTTTTTTTCACCACAACGCCAGCTGTGGACACGCTTTTGACGCCGCCACGTCCACGCCGATAACTCTAGACCAGAGGTCGCCAAAACCTGCGGCTCTTTAAGGACTGCTTCAAGACGTAACGTACGTACGTTACATAATGTAAAATTACGTACATTACATAATGTTCGTACATTACGTCTCGAAGCATTCCTTAAAGAGTACGTACGTACCCGCAAGCTCTGCGGCTCTTGAAATATTGAGTTTTGTGCCGAATTATCACAAACATGGCTCTTCTCGTTATTGTGCTTGCCAACTCCCCCCCCCCCCCCCACGGCTTTAGACGGAGGCATGGAACGTGTTTTGCTCGACCGCGACGGGCGAACCCACCGAGGAAGGGCCCTCCGGGCTTGATCTCGATGACGCCGCGGCTGCGCGTCTCCTCCTCGGCCTGTGTCATGCGCTCGCGTGTCATCTGATAGGAGTCGTCGGTGGCGCACACCGTTATCTTGTCCTGAACGCTGCCCAGGCAGTCCAGCAGGCAGGAGCCATTGCTGTGCACGCAGCAGATTGGGGATAGAGCACAGGCGTAGGCTTTGTACATTTGGAGGTGTAGTGGAGAGTAAACACCACCGTGCAGGTTTTCGCAGTCATTCAAACAACCCGATGAACCGCAAAAGAGAGAGTGGATAGGCATAAGGGCTGTACATGAATACATTTGAAACATAGTACAGTAAAACCTTGGATTGCGAGTAACTTGGTCTGCGAGTGTTTTGCAAGACGAGCAAAATTTTTAAATAAATATTAATTTGATAAACGAGCGAGGGTCTTGCAATACGAGTAAGTACGTATACGCTTTGTCTGCCGAGCGTCACGTGATCACAACTGATATACGAGTGCTTTGACATACGAGTGCTTTGGATTACAAACACGTTGCCGGAACGAATTATGCTCGCAATCCAAGGTTTTACTATACTACCTTTTTCACAATTGTGCTGCATAGCTCTCCGACGTGTTTTTTGGTTGTACCGCATTTTTCTAAACGATGCCCCACGTTCGCTCCACGTTCTGGGAGCCTCTCGAATGGGTTTCTTAATTTTAGTTTGGCAAGAAGCTCCCAGTATGTGGCCAAAACGTCAGAGGCAGTGCCAAACAACACGCGGTATGACACGAAAACACTTCCGAGAGGGAAGTAACAAGCCTTGAAAAGCTTGGGACATCCAGTACTTAAAGGTACACCACAATTCGCGAACAGCAATATTGTAAATAGGTGCACTGCGTGTCGCAGGCTGACGAGACGTGTTTAAAACGTCATTGTTTAAAAATAAATTAGCTTAAAATTACGATCAAAAGAGCTCTGGACAACATTACTGTTGTGACATTAAAAAGAACAGGAGTGAAACGGTGGCAACGGAGCGCTCGTTAATTTATTTCTAAATATCAACGCTTCCCATCTACATTGGACAATCTGGGCCGTACACCTTCGACACACCTAAGAAATACAATCATTGTGCTCTTTTGGCATCGTATCCTCCATAAGTAAGCTCATTACCTAGTTTAAAATCCAACTGGGACGCTCAGTGCATGTATTGTGCTATTTATCACAACTGAAAAAATGGTTATCGTCGGTGAGATTTTTTCACGTGATGCTATCACACTGTGACGCGCACTATTCTCGAGCTAACCCTACAGTAGCCGTGCAGTGCCACCAGTCAAAAACTTGTTGATTTTGATAAGAATTTCATGTCGTGTGTGTCCTCGCACTATTCCAGCCGTGCAAACGTGACTTTGCATTCTACGGACTACTTATTTATTCAGCAGCTGCTTTTTCTCCCCCACCTGCAGACGATGACACTGTAATAACTAGTTAACAGGATGAGAAATACAATGCATATATTACATCACCGAGGCCATCTTAAAGTCACATAAGTCGGCCAATTTGTGCCGTGCCAGGGGCATATTAATCATCCACCAGCCATGATGATTTACAACACCACGTGCCTACCCTGTAACAAAAAAAGACAAACAACCACCTCTGCACATTGCTTGCTGGTGCGTACACTACACGGCATGTACATTTATTCAAGTTATATAATTACTCCAGGGTTTACATATTATGATAACCATGCGAAACAGCGTTCTCGATTCCCAATAAGAAATGGACTACCTCTCACCCACGTAAACGTTATCAAATAAAAATGATCGCCTGCATTCGAACGTTGTCAATGAGGCAACATTAACGTTAACCGCAGCTAATCCTTGCACGTATGTACGGTGAACTTCTTTATCACCGTACGCAGCCAAACGTGCTAATCAGGATCGCTGTTTGCACAACGTTGGACCTGTTTAGAATGTGGTACGACAGATGCTAGCAACGGCTCAATGGACACATGACACGATTTTTCCATCTGCAATCCACCTGGGGTGGTGGGGGGCTCTTTCTGTTTATAAAAGCACTGTAAACGGTAAGGGTCATTTCATGTCAGCTCTACACCCTTGGGGCGCGGGGGGGTGCCACCAGTCTGGCAATGTTTATCAGGAGCAGAGGTAAAACAAGCGGAGCTTAATCCCCACAAAGCCTCCCCGTGCTTAACGGTGCCTTTCCTTTCACACTCCACGCCCCACCCCGCATGTGCGACAATGTCCCTGAGTGCCGCTCGGTCAGGGGCTTGGGGCAGGGGGCCGACAAAATGCTCTTTGCAAAACAAAGAGAAGTCCTACAGTTTGTGGAAACTGTGCCACTCGGAATTGCGTAAACCAAAACTGTGCAAGGCTGCGGAGAGAGAGAACGCACGCAAAAAAAAAACGCCGATTGCTTTTTTTCCCCCTTCCTTCAAAGAGGAGCTTCCGATGTTGGCAGATTTCCATGAGCTCACGGTGACAACAGCAAAATAAAAAAACACTGTCTGAAGCCTCTCAAACAACTGTCAGACAAAGTGCGCTCAATAAAGACCCCCAAAAGCCACAACAGTTGTGTTAATCTCCATATATATAAAAGGCAAAGTAGTGATTATGTGTGTCTGTTCAAAATGTTTTGCGTACTTCCCGACATGCAACAAACTTGAAATTTGCCATGTGGGTACTTTCCAGACTGTACACCATGCAAACATTATGAAAATACACTTTAGTTTTTGTTTGGGAGGGGGGGGGGCTCAATAATGCATATTTTTTTGCCCGGCAAGTGAGCTGTGACGTCAAATCTGTCATGTGACCCGCGCATGTGGAAGCGTAACGCATTGTAGTGTAGTGGTTAGCGCGCTGCGCTACGAACCCGGCGACCCGAGTTCAATTCCTGCTCATGGCCACCACCGGTGACGATTATTTTAACCAGTCCTGGGCCTCCCCTAGGTCGACTCAGCCTCAAACGAGTAACTAGTCTGCTGAGTGAACATCGCCACTGGGGGGACAAAGGCGGCCGGGCGTGGTGCTGTCAACCACCCCCTCGTACGTTATAGTTTAAAAACAAACAGCGTTGCAGAAGCATTGACAACGTGTTTATGAAAGGGTTCCAAGGCACTGGGTGAAACCAGGGCGCACAGACATATCCAAAACAGAGCTTAGAAAAGCACAAACAATCTGTGTGGAAAGTGCGTAACATCAAGAAGAGCCATTTCTAATTTAGAATAGCTCTACAAGACAACGGCATCAACATGATTCGTGTTGTTGTCTGGTGTCGTCAACTACTGCTGAAACAGTAAAGGCATGCACATGTACTTGCCTTTTATTAATCTGCTGCTGGATGAGAGCCTCCCTATGCCGCCCAGGTTGTGGGAATACTTTATCATACTTTATCGAGTCTCACGTCTCTTTCAGGATGCTCCTACTAAGTTTTTGCAGGAGAGGGCGATGATTGCTGTGTATATTTCAACTAAATAATTTGCAGGCAATTTTTATTTTCAAACGATGTCACAGGACCTTAATTGTCCAGTGTGAAGCGGACTTCACGTAATTGTTTTGGTTACTACACCTGCATTAAATAACCAGGATAGCTGATTGATCCGAACTGTACACCTCTGCAACAAGAGGCGAATAAACCGCTGCACCGCTACGCCATGTCACCGAACCATTGATTTTGGAGCATAAATGTACACAATGATGGAATTTTCTACAGTTGCCTTTGCATAGGAAAGGCATCAAAAGCAAGACATTCATGAAAATGGCCTGGTAAGTAAAGCGTGGCGATTTATGAGTTGCATTGCCTACACAGGAAAGATAGCACACCCCAATGTGCAATGGCTACACCCGAGCGTCTATTGGGCGGGCATAGCCTGGGGAGTCGGTCTCGCTGGTGCGGACACCGAGAGACATTTCACTTCACCATCCTGCCCAGCGTAAAACAAAAACAAACAGAGCCTACGCGTTTATTTATCTAGCACACGCTATTACGCTTTCAGTTTTATTTATAAGGTATGCAGAATTGTGGGGTGGGGGGGCAATTATACGAGCACTAATGTGCTTGTGTCAAGAATAGATTGCAACAAGCGCCCCTCTCGCTGTGTACACTGTACACAAGCCACTTGGGAAACTTGGGCAGACGAGATTTTTAAACCGGCGCGTGCAGACTGCAGATAAGGATGGGCGGTGACGCAATTGCGCTGCTGCTGCTGCTGCGTGGCAGCAGGCGACGGGGGCCACCGTACCTGTCCGTGTACTGCTTGATGCACTCCAGGCTCGCCTGGGGACCGTCCCTCCCCGCGCTCGACACGTCGAAGGAAAAACACCGCAGCCCTGACAGGCATTCAGATTTTGGCACAGGGATCTTCATAACCTGCGGACAAGACAAATAAATAACAAAAGAAGCAACGGCATTGGTTTAAATTTTGATTTAAAGCTTTCGTGACTGCAGGGATTCATATTCTTGGTTCTTTCGGTAAAGTCACGTAGAAGGGAAACAATAAAATAATAAAAATATAAAACAATAAAATTCTCACGACGTTTCGACTGCAACACAAGCAATCATCATCAGGTGATTGCTTGTGTTGTGTTTCGACTGCAACACACGCAATCACCTGATGATGACTGCTTGTGTTGCAGTCGAAACGTCGTGAGAATTTTATTGTTTTATATTTTTATTATTTTATTGTTTCCCTTCTACATGGTGACTTTACCGAAAGAACCAAAAATATGACACTGGCTTATTTGTATTGGGGAATATCTGTTGTGGAGCAGTGGTGCAGTGCACCTAGAAAGCCGGGAACCCGAGTGGCAAGTGATGTCAGACCTGGCTGTCTTCACCAATCGGCACGAACCAGTGTGGCAAGGAAAAAAAACAATGACTGACATGGTGTGTGTGTGTGTGTACGGGAGCGATAGTGTAGCGGTTAGCGCGCTGCGCTATGAACCTGGCGACTCGGGTTCGATTCCCTCTCACGGCCAACACCAGTGTCGATTATCTGAACCGGTCCCGGGCCTCCCCTAGGTCGACTCAGCCTCAAATGAGTACCTGGTGCGGTGTGTAAACATTGCCACTAGGGAGCCAAAGGCGGTCGGGCGTGGTGCTGGCCACCCACCCCCTCGTGTACCGATCCGGCCTTCATAGGTGCTCGCTAACAGCACTTGCCCCTACAGTCTGTTAAGGCTATACGGGGGATCTTTGTGTACGGGAGGGGGGGGGGGCTCCATCCATTGGCGGAATGAAAATGGCCGTCACTCATTTATTAACGTAAAAAACATGGCACGAGAAAGTTTCACATCCTGTATAACAAGCAGCGAAAAACGTCATGAAAGAAAACATGAAGAGAATATTTTTCAGCCATGACTGAATGCCGAGTCTAGACTCTTTTCAGAGCAATGTAATAAGATTTGTATTTATAGAACGCATAAATGCAACCTCAAATCCAGACACTTGGCAAATAGGTGGGACATGCACAACACGAAGGCGTATATATAGAAACCAACATCTCCTTTTACAAAAGCCACGAAACATCCTCATATTACCATCGCAATGTGACAATTTAACCCCTACACCCCCTCCACGTAAATTAAATGAATTGTCAAAATTCAAAAATGTGTCCAGTTTTTTTGTTGTCTCATTGACCCATCTAATTTGTATTCGCGCTCATGTTCTCTGGTATAGTGGTATTATCTGTACAGTTTAGTTTGCATATTGCCCTAAACGTAACAGTAACATAACATTTGCATTTAATTTAAATTGTTACGAACAAATTATCTCACAAGCATGATTTGACAATATAATATCATGAGTACAAGAACACATTTTAATCTATCAATTGATGTTTTGTTACACGATTTATTGTCATGTAATAATAATAGATTCCTTTACTAAAAGTATAAATCAGTAAATACAAGAGTCTGTGGATAATTTAAACATCCACACACAGCCCATCCCGTCATGATGCAGAAACATAATAACCCCAGTTTACATTTATGAATAGAAAGCAGTATTCGAGAAAAGTTGTACTCATTGCTACCGGATGTAGCCGAAATACAGCTATCAATACGATGACAACAGACCACTCGTTTAACCCTGCGCTGCTGCACGATCTGTGCTTTGGCGACACGAGTCCCTGGTGACTCACGGAGATACTCCGATATGCCAGTCAACGAGCATGAAAGCGACACGGGATGCCACGGACCGCGGCGTACGCACGCAAATCGCCCGAGAGCTGACGCAGACGCTCACGCCCCGCTGTAAAGCGACGAGAGAAAATCAATATTCTCCGAAGTCTGCCTGCGTCACACGCTGCATGCGTCCGCCGATGCGAGACTAAGGACGGCCCACTCGCGGCTGACCTCGGCGACCGTCCCCGTAGTCACATCAGCGGCGTGATGGCAAGCTGTGGCAACGAGTAAGTGGAGGGGGGGGGTTGTCCCGGGTTTTTGGAAACATGCGACAAGGCGAACCCCCGTAGCGTGAATTTACGGCACCGCCGCTGCTCTCCCAGATTAAAACTATAGTTGTGATGCCCTGCAGTCAATCCATGTCACATTTCATGTGCCGAGTCTAATGAAAAACACCCATTACAGGCATCGAACTCTTGTCAGCTCCACCTCCATTATTGTGTTTACAAGCTCCATTCATTTTCTGTTCTTTTCCCGCAATCCCCTGCATACAGGAATTAAGATAGATTATGACAGGGTGCTTCTGAACTTGTTTAACGTGCAGCCCTACGAGGATAAATGGCTCAAGCACGAGGCATCAAATCACAGACTCGAGATTAGAAAGGTGCCAGGCAAAAGCTGACTCAATATTTACATCTACTGCTTTCGACTGATAATAACACATTGCACGCATAAACAAAGCACAAGCACGCACCGTGCGCGTTTTACAGACTCCCATGGGTCCATAATAGTCAGCCGCCGAGCCATGCACGGCACAAATTTTTTACGCATGTATTAACTAAATGTGTTGACGCTACGGAAGCCGACCTGCGTTGTCACGGAGACAATGTAATTGCTCTGGCGCAAGGCGCCCTTGCACGGGGACGGGGGGTGGCAGCGGCTCGTGTTTTTTTTTCCCGAACCGAACGAGGATAAAGAGGCAACCCCCGCCGCCGTCGCAGCAATTCCTGACGGCATCGACGGCGCGCCGCCCGACTTCTCCGGCGCAACGATGGCTTTCGCACAGGTGAAATGCCACTTAAAATGCACACTCATGACGAGCGCGCATTAAAACACCGTTCCAAAGACCCTACAACCTCCTGGTAAGCGCCTCCTGGCGCGTCACGCCTGCATCCTCGCCTGACGCAACAAGTGCCGGCATGCCGCAGATACCTTAACCTTTTTTTGTTTTGTTTAAACAAGCATGCCGATTCAAACTTTTAGGTGTCAATCCAGCGTGCAGTGACGGCGCCTGAATCTGCAAAGGTGCCTCCGGCAATACGATCTGCTCCAATCGCAAGACAACAATAAATCGTGATCCTACGTGAGTGTGTCCTCCGTATGGCCCCCGCGGTCGGTGACACTGCTAAATGGGAAAACAAGTCCGTGTTGATCGTGGTTTCTGCCACGAACGTCAGTGCGCGGATATCACGCTGTTTCGGCCAAAGTCCAACGTGAGACACGGTATCACTGCCCGGGCATGCTACGGTGACTGCTCGCGATTTCAAAAACGAGCCGTTTGCAGTATAAAAAGAAATAAGAAAAATAATGTTACAACAAGTTTTCATTTCATTAGATTCCGGTACAAATATTGGGGGAGTGGGTCTTTGTAACGCCTGCCAACAAGATTCAAGTGCTTAAAGTAATCTAGGCAATTACATAAAATACCTCGGTTTTACGAGAAAAATTGGTCAGCATCATTTATAATAAGGGATTATAAATGCAGTGAATGTTGATTTTACTAGTTTCGAATCTAAAACCAGAGATCTAGTTGTTTTTTGTAAAACATGCTATTAATGCCGAGCTGATGTCATACCATTTAGGGGGATTATTATGAAAATCATCGTGTGATTATAGCAATTGTTCTAATTTGAGAAATTACCTACCAGCATAAAGCTAATCGCCAACGGCCTCCCAAGCACACAAACACAACAATGAACATACTTGATATAAAGTAACGATGTCCAAAAAAAAATCACAAAGCTCTCAGCTTACATAGCTCTACCTGGGATGTACAAAACAAGCCACCGGATACGAGTTAGAAGCTTTTTTATCGAGAACTAGCTTTACTACCCGGCTTCGCCCGTGACTTGGATTCACGACGCCCGGCCGTCTTTGTCTCCCCAGTGGCGATGTTCACACACCACACCAGTACCCTAGTTTGAGGCTGAGTCGACCTAGGGGAGGCCCAGGACCGGTTCAAATAATCGTCACCGGTGGTGGCCGTGAGCGGGAATCAAACTCTGGTGGCCGGGTTCGTAGCGCAGTGCGCTCACCACTACACTACAATGCGTTACGCTTCCACATGCGCGGGTGACATGACAGATTTGACGTCACAGCTCACTTGCCGTGCAAAAAAAATAAATGCATTATTAAAGTGTATTTTTATAATTTTTGCGTGGTGTACAGTCTGGAAAGTACCCACATGGCAAATTTAAAGTTTGTTGCATGTCAGGAAGTACGCTAATCATTTTGAACACACACATTCACAACTTTGCCTTTTATATATGTGGAGATATTTCTAGATTTGAAGCTTTTCGTGACTGCAAGGATCCATACTCTTTGGTTATATTCGGTAAAGTCACGTAGGTAAAAAATAAAACGACAAAAAATCACGACGTTTCGGCCACAACACAAGTGGCCTTCATCAGGTGAAGGGACCGGACTGTCCAGAGGACAGCGTTGGAGTGAAGGCCACTTGTGTTGTGGCCGAAACGTCGTGATTTTTTGTTGTTTTATTTTTTACCTACGTGACTTTACCGAATAGAACCAAAGAGTATGGATCCTTGCAGTCACGAAAGCTTCAAATCTAGAATTGATCACCTCTACGGGGAGGGCTTTCACCTGTTAGAACTTTCAACAGACAACGGGACAAGAAGTCACAGCTCATCGAGACGCTGACCTTCCTCAAAAGATGCCGCGACCACAAGCTTAAAGGACGCGACCTGGGCTTGGCTGTTTTCACTCCAACGCTGCCCTCTGGACAGTCCGGTCCCTTCACTTGATGAAGGCCACTTGTGTTTTGGCCGAAACGTCGTGATTTTTGTTGTTTTATTTTTTACCTACGTGACTTTACCGAATAAAACAAAAGAGTATGTGGAGATAAACCCTCCGCCAGTTAATGTATCACTATGCAAAACCTTCAGTGACATCAATTTGTTGGACTGGACAATCGGGACGACAGTTCTGTCGTCCCGACAGTTCTGT